CCCTGTTCCTGGGCATGTACCTGACCACGGTGCTGGGGAACCTGCTCATCATCCTGCTCATCAGGCTGGACCCTCGCCTCCACACCCCCATGTACTTCTTCCTCAGCCACTTGGCCCTCAGTGACATCTCCCTTTCATCTGTCACTGTCCCAAAGATGCTGATGAACATGAAAACTCACCAGCAATCAATCCCCTATGTTGGCTGCATTTCACAGGTGTATTTCTTCATCTTCTTTGGTTGTCTTGATAACCTTCTTCTTGCAGTGATGGCATATGACAGATACGTGGCCATCACTCACCCTCTGTACTACACTTGTATAATGAAGGGGGAACATTGTATTTTCTTGGTGACTGGGTGCTGGTTCATCTCTTGTGTGCATAGTCTGTTGCACACCCTCCTCGCGGGCCAGTTGTCCTTCTGTGGAGAGACTATCATCCCCCACTTCTTTTGTGATCTTGCTGCCTTGCTCAAGTCCTCATGCTCAGACACCTCTCTCAATGAGCTGGTTATCTTCACTGAGGGAGGACTGTTCTCCATTGTGTCATTGAGTGGTATCTTGGGCTCATATATCTGCATAGTGCTCACCATCCTGAGGGTCCTTTCCATCAAGAGAATTTCCAAAGCCTTGTCTACCTGTGGCTCCCACCTCTTTGTGGTGTCTTTATACTATGGTACACTTGCAGGAATTTACTTTTCCTCCTCATCAGGAAATTCTAAAGGCAAGGACTTAATTGCATCTGTGTTGAGCATAGTGGTCACCCCTATGCTGAACCCCTTTATATACAGCCTAAGGAATAAGGATATAAAGTGTGCTTTTGATGGATTTTTCAGGGCCAAAGTTTTCTCTTGATGTTATTAATTCAATTCTGAAATGAACACTCATAGGTACCATGAAATATGTCTCCTTAAGAGTTGTGACAAGGAGCTCTGCTGGTGTAGTGGCTAAAACATTCAACTATTAACCAAAGGAGCTCTGGTGGTGTAGTGCCTAAGGCACCAGCCACTCCTTGGAAGGAAGATTGGGCAATATACTTCCATAGAGATACTGCCTTGGAAACCCAAGAAGGGATTGTTATGAGTCAAATCAGCTCAACGGCAGTGAGAGTTTTTACTAACCAAAAGGTCGGTAGTTCAAACCCACCAGCCACTCTGTGGCAGAAACATGAGGCAGTCTGCTTCTGTAAAGAATTATAGTCTTGGAAACCCTAAGAGGTAGTTGTACTCTTTGGGAGCTCTGGTGGCATAGTGCCTAAGGCATTTGACTGCTAACCAGAAGGCTGGTGGTTCAAACCCACTAGCCACTCCTCGGAAGGAAGGTTGGGCAATCTACTTCTGTGGTGATACTGCCTTGGAAACCCAAGGAGGGGTCGCATACTCTTTAGGTAGTCCTAAAGGGTCGCTGTGAGTCAGTATCGATGCCATAGCAGTGGGTTTGGTTTTAACGATTGTGACTTGGACAACTCTTATCTCAAGCACCATTCTTCTCCCAGTTTCATTTAATCTTTCTTTCATTTTTGTTCACCTGAGTTTTCTTTCCCTTTCACCTTCTGTCCCTGCATTTTCTGAGTTAATGCTTCTGCAGTGAAATGCCAAGCCCTCCCATACCCAATGATGTTTATTGTAAGCTGTGAGTCTTTGAAGTGCACTCCCTTGGGCTTTGAGAAGTTTTATTCATCTCCATTTTCTCTTCCATAACTTTCTATATCTTGTACTGATACTCATACATATTCACTTGAATTTTCTTAATTCCACCAAATTTCATTTATTTCATGTGTGAGGCATTCAGAAGATAAAGAAACTGCCTTATCTACTGAAAGAGACAAGAGTAGATATTATAGCTAAGTTAATTAAGAATTTAAATGTATATTTTATCTAATCCTCAGAAAATCCCATTATAAATTTGCTAATATTTTCCCAATTTATAGAGGAGCAAACAAAGTCCAAGCAAATTAACTAAGTAGCTGCCATACAACTTACACCCAGACTTCAAAATTTTATGTTTAATCATATTACTTTATTGTTAACCTGAGTTCTAACACTAGTTTGACTGTAAATATATAACTATACATAATTTCTTTCCTATGTGATTAATGCTATCTGTGACCTGTTGGAGAAATCTTTGTTTACCCAAAGATCTTAAAGACATTCTTCTAATTTTTTCTTAAACTTTTCTGGTTTTGCCTTTAATATTTATATCTATTATCCATCTAGATTTATTTTCTGTGTAGGTTTTAAGATATGCATTCAGATTAATTTTCTTCTGTATGGACATCTAACAGACACACCACAATTTATTGAAAATTCTATCCTTCCCTTATTGAACTGTGATTTTTTTTGTTATATCAAATGAATGAATATTAGTTATCATGAATATAAATTCTCTTGACTATTTTTCCTGTTGCATTCCCATGTGAATTTTAGATGTTGCTTGACAATTAAAGGCAAATCAAATCATTGGTATTTTGTGAATGTATAAAACAGCTTTAATTATCTAATCTTTACTCTGTGAACTTGACATATATTTTCATTTATTTATCTTTGAACATTGTTAAACATTTTCTTAGGTGCTTCATATTTATGTACTGTTATAAATGGTGTAATCATTTAAATGTTATATACTATTTGTTTTTGATATATAGAAACATAATTGGCTTTTTTTTTTTAAACTGTGGTTTGGGTGAAAGTTTACAGAGCAAGTTAGTTTTCCACTTAACCATTTATATACATTTTGTTTCATGACATTAGTTGCGATCCCCACAATGTAACAGCACTCTTCCCACTTCCTCCCTAGATTTTCCATTTCCATTCTCCCTTCTTTCCTTTTTATTTATTTAGTTCCTTTTTACTGACTTGGGTGAATTACAGAGCAAATTAGCTTTCCATTCAACAATATACACACATCGTGTTTTGTGACCTTCACTGCAATGCCCATAATAAAAGTACTCCTCCCATTTCCCCCTGGGCTTACCATTTCCATCCATTCTTCTTTCCTATCACTTCCTGCTTCTCAACTTTATTCCTGGGCAAATTCTGCCCTTTTGATTTCATGTGGTTGATTGTTCTAATGAGTGTCTACCACACTGTTACTATTGTTCACCTTAAAGGCCTATCGTTTGACTGAAAGTTGTGCCACTGGCGTCAGTTCAGTTCCAGGCTTGAAGGATGTCTATGGGCCACAATCTTAGGGGTTCTGTTAGTCTCTATCATACCAGTAAGCCTGGTGTTTTTATTTTTTATTTTTTCAATTTTGTTCCACATTTTTCTTCCACTCTCTCTGGGACCTCCTATTGTGATCCCTTTCAGAGTTGTCAGCAGTGGTAGCCAGGCCCCAACTAGTTCTTCTTGTCTCAGGTTCATGGAGGCTGGGGTTCACGTGGTCCATTAGCCCTTTGGACTAATTGTTTCCATGTCTCTTTGATTTTCTTCACTCATCTTTGCTCTGGGAGAGAACAATAGTTACACCTTTAATGGGTGCTCAAAGCTTTTAAGAACAGTTGCTACTCACCAAAGTAGGATGTAGAACACTGTCTTTGTGGACTATGTTATGCCAACTGACATCATTGGCCCCTGAGACTACAGCCCTGAGCCTTATACCCAGTGACTCATTCCCTCAAGGCATTTAGTTATGGATAAGAAGTTTTCATAACTTTGCCCTCTGTATGTTCTACTATATTCATGGATATATTTGCAGCACATACAAATACACTTGTAGAAACATCCTCTGTCAAACCTATATATATTCACGGGTGTATTCCCATTCACCTTACCATCTCTACTCAGCTTGAGTGTCTGTCTATGTAATCCACTTGTAGATTATTGTTATTTCTGTTATTGCAGGATTCTGTATATAATTTAGAGATTAGTCCCCTGTCTGATATGTCTTTGCCAAAATATTTTCCCCAGTCTGTAGGTTTGCTTTCAGTTCTTTTGGTGAAGTCTTTTGATGTGTATAAATGTTTAATTTTTAAGAGGTCCCAGTCATCTAGTTTGTCTTCTCTGTCTGTGCATTTTTCAGTTATATTTGATAGTGTATTTATGCCATGTATTAGGGCCCTAAAGTACACCCTTATTTTTTCTTTGATAATCTTTATAGATTTAGGTTTTACATTTAGGTCTCTGATTCATCTTGAGTTAGTTTTTGTATATGGTGTGAGGTGTGGATCCTGTTTCATTTTTCCATAAATGAAAATCCAGTTTTGCCAGCACCATTTGTTAAAGAAATTCTCTGTCTCATGTAATGGGTTTTGGCTCTTTCTGAAAGATTAGCTGTCCATAGGTGGATGTACTTCTGGGTTCTTGGATCTGTTCCATTAGTCTATGTGTCTGTCATTGTACCAGTTCCAGACTGTTTTGGTTACCATGGCTGTATAGTTGGTTTTGCGATTGGGGAAGGTGAGGTTTCCTACTATGTCCTTCTTCTTTAGTAGTGCTTTGCTCATCCCGGGTCTCTTTCTTTTCATAGAAAGTTAATGATTAGTTTTTCCATGTGAATGATGATGGAATCTGGGTCAGGATCACATTATATCTGTAGATTACTTTGGATAGTATCAACATTTTTCACAATGTTAAGTTTTCCTGTTCATGAGCACAGTATATTCTTCCATTTATGTAGGTCTCTTTTGGTTTCTTGTAGTGTTTTGTAGTTTTCTTTGCATAGGTCTGTGTCTCTGGTAAGATTTATTCCTAAATATTTTATCTTTTGGGTGTTTATTGTAAATGATATTGTTTTCTTGATTTCCTAGTCAGAGACCTCTTTATTAGAGTAGAGGTATCTGATTAATTTTTATATGTTGATTTTGTTCAGTCTCTTCAAGATCAAGTTCAGTACTTGATCTGCTTCTTTATCCTTTCCTTTGAAGCTCTGGGTTCCAGGATTATCATCCATAGCTGTATCATTTGGTTTCTCGAGACTTTGTTGTAGAGGGTCTGGATAGTGCAGCTGCCTAGTCCACCATCTTGGATCTTCCTTCTCTTCCTTCTTTCCTGTCCCTTCCTGCGTTCTTGGCTTTGGATCAGAAACATAACTGACTTTTATGTGTGGACATGGTATCTAGTGACCTGGCTATTTTCACTTGTTTTTTTCTTATAACTTGTCTGTATACTGGTTTGGATCTTTAGGTAAACTATAATGTTCTCTGTGAATAACAAAAATTGTGTTTTTTATTTTGTCCCTGTAAATACTCTTATTTCTTTTTCCTGACTTAATTTATTGACTTCTGATACACTCTTTTTATAGAAATTTTAAGGTATAATTTACATATAAGAAGACTCATCAGTTTCAGAATCATTCAGTATTCAATGATTTTTAGTAAATTTACTAAGGTGTGCACCATCATCACAATGCAGTTTAAGAATATCTCCATCAACTCACTAAAATTTTTCTGGCCCATTTACAATTACCCCTATTCCCACACTCAACCTCTGTAAGCCACTAATCTACCCTCTGTCTCTATAGACTTACCTTTGCTGGAGTTCTATATAAATGGAATCACACAACAGGTGCTCTCTTGCTTCTGGCTGCTTTCACCTAGCATGATATTTTTGAGGCTCATCTGTGTTGTAGCACGCATTAGCATGTCATTCCTTTCAATTGCCAAATAATATTCTATTACATGGATATAGCACATTTTGTTCATCCATTTGCCAATCTGATGGTCATTTAAGTTGAGTTGTTTCTGCTTTTTAGCTATTATCAGTAATGCTGCTATGAACATTCATTTATAAGTTTTTGTGTGAACATGTGTTTTCCATTTTCTTGGGTATATATCTAGAAGTGGAATTGCTGAGTTATATGGTAACTCTATACTTAACACTTTGAGGAACTGCCAGCCTGCAGAGCAGCTGTACCAT